CAGTGATAATGATGCTACATATACAAAGAAATTAAATGAAGATTACAGAAAATCTTATGATGCGATCCAAAATTTAAGTAGTTGATTCTTAACTGTAATTTCAACTGATTGTAACCTTGAATATTGAACACATGCATACAAAAGTACTGAGAGAAACCAACAAGTATCTGAGAGCTTGCTTTTGAAAAGCTGCCTATATAAGCACTGAGAATCAGCTGTTAACTAAGAGATCAATCATATCACTTAAAAGGTTTCAAAATCAAAAAAAAGAGTTTGACGGAACAGAGCATTGTTACTGCATGCAAATTAAAAAATGGTAAAAATAATAATAAAATAATAATAATAATTAAAAAATCACAAAAGCCAAATACCCCTTCATAATCAGCTATATTTAAGTCTGCTTCAAAGAGATGCTAGCTGGCATATGCAAAGATGTATACGTGTATTAAACACATTCATATCAAAAAAGAATCTTCAAGAAAACCGATTTATTTTTTTATTTATTAAGTAACTGGATTGTCTAGTGAAAGATTATTGTATTTTTTAATACTGTATGTAGCTTAATTTTCAATATTGGATATCAACATTATATATGTAATCAATATTTTTAAGCCAAATGCGTGGGCCTGTTTTCTGTACACTGAACCATCTAACCTGCTGAACATACATTATTAAAAAGATATGATTAAAATGATTTGCAAGTTTTGTATGGCACCAGCTGTCATTTAAACTTATCTACTTCAGAGTGAGCCTGCAAAAACTGTGATTTGCCAAATTTTGTTGGAAGAGAAATTATTGAAATGAATTTGGTATTGTGTACTGTGGCATATTTCCATAGGAAATGGCTTCCTAGTAGTGTCCTCCTGGTACCTTAGCCTTGTAGAAAAAAAATGAATCCAGTCATTAGTAACACAGTGTTTCAAGATCTTAGCTGGACTGAGGCATTAGACATATGATGACCTCCTGCTGACATCCTGTTGACATCTGTGGAACTCAAGCATATGACTAAGAGCTTTGAATAAAATATTTAATAAGCTTCAGTATTAACATGACAGCATGCATAATATTAGAAGACAGAACTGCGATAGCACAGTTCTTCAAGATTTAAAAGTATAAATCATTCGCATGCAAACTTTCTACTTGTAATAGGCTGCATGGAATGCAGAAGGATCTGTCTCAACTGCTAGAGGGAATTAAATACATTGTAATGAGATATAAACCATCAGGTCTGGATTGGTCCTTCATATCAAATCTAGACTTCAAATGAAACTGCTATCTTCTGCCTGTCTCAGCCTACATCTACAAAAAATAAGTTTGGCTCCCCCCAACGGTTTCACCCTCGCAAATTATCTATTACAAACTAGTAATGCTAGAGGCTTTGGGCAGAGTGGCTGGAAGACTGTATAGAGGAAAGGGGCCCGGGGGATATTAGTTAATGCTGTGTTAAACAGGAGCAAGCAGTGTGCCCAGGTGGCCAAGAAGGCCAACGGCATCCTGGCTTGTATCAGAAATAGCGTTGCCAGCAGGAGCAGGGAGGTGATCATCTCTCTGTACTCAGCCTGCTGAGGCTGCATCTCAAGTACTGTGTACTGTGTTTTGGGCCCCTCACTACAGGAAGGTGCTGAGGCCCTGGGGAGAAGAGCGATGAAGCTGGAGAGGGGTTTGGAGCACAAGTCTTCTGTGGAGAGGCTGGGGGAACTGGAATTGTTCAGCTTGGAGGACGCTCAGGGGAGACCTTGTCATTCTCTACAGCTACCTGAAGGGAGGTTGTGGTGAGCTGGGGTCAGCCTCTTCTCCCATGTAACTAGCAATAGGACCAGAGGGAAAGGTCTCAAGTTGAGCCTTGGGAGGTTCAGGCTGGTTGCTAGGGATTACTTCTCAGAAAGAGGAAGAAGGCACTGGAACGGGCTGAGCAGGGAGGTGGTGGAGTCACCGACACTGGAGGAGTCAAGAAACATTTAGGTGTTGTACTGAGGGACATGGTTTAGTGGGAAATATTGGTGATGGGTGGACAGTTGGAGTGGATGATCTTGGAGGTCTTTTCCAACCTTGGCGATTCTATGATTATGTAAGGACTATGCTGTTATAAATTGAGAGTAATATTTCAGTTTTTAGATAGTGATAACAGATACATCTCCATTAAGGGCAATGTGATTATTCACATTAAAACTCAAAATAAAGAGCAACACATTTTATAATAAACTTTGCCACATTTATTACCTTACCATTCCTTTTCTTGAAACTTGTAGCAAACCAGATGAATTTAAGAGGTTTTCTGAAGGACAGGGAGAGTAGGCAAGGTCATCAACTAAACTCTTAATCATTCTCTGTGTTCATATCCAGAGGACTATAAACGCTTTAGTTACATCTGTATTGCACACAGGAGCTCTGATACTTCTGTGTAACACTGGAACCAGAAATACCACAGCTGCTCAGGCAAATAAGTGCCAGTACCATTGGCTATCTGTGAAAATGAGCTAAAAACTCCTAATACTGTCATGTCTCAGCGTACTACATGTGGTTATTCATATTTATTTAAAATTACGTTTCCTACATACTTAGCTTCTAATATTGTGTGGTTCTAAAGTTGCTACAAAATCCTAAGGCTTCAATTCCACATTATGTAAAGAGAGCACTCAAGCTGAAAATATGGTAAATAATATTGTTTATTCAGGGAAGGGGTGATGGGGAAAAAAAAAAGTTTTTATTTTAAAATTTTAAAATTCAGGAAAATAATTTAATGCAAAGTTATGCATAAGGATTCAATCACTGAGCAAAAAACTAAAGTGGGATCTGACAACCCACTTCCATTTCATTTAGGGAAAAAATCTGTTTAAGTATATATATCAACCTTTTCACTATTTGCCAGATGAAAACTTTAGCAGAGAAATCAGCAAACACACGTGTTGTATTCAAGTAACATGTTGCTTCAGCAGGAAAAGGACCCATCTCTAAATAGTTTTCTGAAAACTAGATCTACATGACATCAAACTATTTCACAAACATCTTACTCAAAGAAGATGCTAAATAGGCTGGATCAAGTATAGCTGAAGCAGGTAAGCTCCTTTCACTCTTTAAGTTCCAGCACTGCCAAATGCTCAGTATACCACACATGGAAAAGTTCTGAGATTAGGTATCACTGAGCATGTGTTACCACTTCAATAAAAGACTTTCATGGCATACCGCTGGGACAGATTGAAAGCCTTCTATACTGTGTTACCAACCACCACACAGACATAATATTATGCAGACATACAATTCCCCTTTAATCTTTCTCTCTCTCAAAATAAATAAATAAATTAAAAAACAAACAAACAAACAAAAAAACCAAACCAAAATAAAATAAAATAACAGTTAGAGCAGATTTCCAGCTGCTCGGTTATGTCCAAGATAGGTGCAATACAAGCCTTTTAGAATAACTTAGTGCCAGTGACAGCCAAATTCAACTCCTAAAATTAAATATGGTCAGGAAAGCATTGAGGAGTTAGGCACCACAAAACACATAGCATCTGGAATACCAGAAAACACAATTGTCTCCATTTATTACCAGTTTTGTAACTTTTCTATAACCACTCATGCTAGAAAATAGAGGCTAATAATTTTGATGGCACGAATCCCCCACCTTTTTTTTTAAACCTGGAAAATTTGCTCAGGAATGTAAATAACTTTTTTTTTTTTTTCCCTCCAGGAAAATCTCCAGATTTACTTGGAACAGACAAGAGCTTACAAACTAAGTACTCCCAGATCCCCTGCCACACATAAACACTTCAAGTATGTATGCTTGGCAAACATAACAGCTCTTCAGGATACATTCACCTCAAAGCTTAAAAAGATTGTGAAGAATTAAAACAAGTCTAGGAAGTCAGGAAGATGGTCGCTACTGCTAAGCTTAACATGCAACACTGCTAGAAAATATGCAGTTACACTGACCTTTTAATGACGTTGGTCCCCTTCTCATATGGGAATAACATACTTTACCTCTACCATGTAACTTGTTGCTCTCTCACTCACAGCCAATGACACAGCTATTTTTTGCAATATTTCTTTCTAGATTTCCCAGCTAAGACTCGTCAAAAAAATCAGGCCTGTGTTCTCACTTCAGTTTTATCTTTAACTATGGATGGAAAAAAAAATGTGTACAAGAGGAGAGGAAATAAAATTACTTCAATTTATTGTAAATACAATGTATTTCCCAGCAGACTGTGGCACATGAGCAAACTGTAGATGAACATTAGCTTGGAAGACTGTTTACTTCAAACCCAGTCTAAGGTTTCACTATGGCAAAATAAATAGGATTCAGTACAAATCAGCTAGCAGAGAATTTTTAAGATATATATATATATATGTATGGCAGACAACTCCCCATTGTTATAAAAGTAGTCTTGAAGATATTCCTATATTCCTCCAAAAAGGGACCGAATAATCAGGAAAAAGAGTCTGTTTGCAAGTTTATACCTTGAGATTAGATGTACAAAATTAGTGGTACAATTACACCAATGTAATTTTAACAGTCTGGAACTTCTACATTTCACCCATAATATTCAAGAGCATTGTAGGATGTGAAACATTTTTAAAAAATCACGTCTTCTCTATTTTAAAAGTTATTCCATTAAATTTCAGGACACTGGCTAAAGAAAACAAACAAACTACATTCATGTGAATGCTACTGCATATTTCAAAGTAACTGCTGCTTCTGATGTCACCTTTTCACTTTAGAGTTATGGTTCAAGTTTAGTATTTTCCCCAGATCTAAAGCACAAAAGAATACAGACTACAAAAGTAAGGAACTTTACCTAAAGTCCTGATGTCTGCTTCATCACAGGTCTGAATGCTGACACCACTAAGTCAGCGGAGCAAGAGTTGTTTCACATCAGTTAAAGATAGCCCTTACAAAGAAATTGACTTAACAGCAAAAGATGAGGCATTACTATCTTTAGTAAGACCCTATTAGTAATATCCTTAATATCTATATGGTGCTGAAAAACACACTAAATACTAGAAACATTGTAAACAGGTTTATTTTTTCACTTAAACTTACACATAACAACTTTATTAGTTAAAAAAAAAAATCTCAACGTGAAAGGCAGTAGTTTGGCTTTTTATTTGCAAAGGGTAAAGCATCTCCTCAGTTAAAACTGAGTTATAACAATTCTGAGTAATCTACACAGGTTAAGTTTACTTATAATTTAATATCAGCCAAAAACCTGTTAACATTCCAGATTGTTGTAGAAAAATTGTATACCACACTTAAGGCATACAAGATTTAGAACAAACAAAAAATACCCTGTTTTAAAAGTAATCTCCCTTCCAAATAGGTTTTCGTTTTAGTGCATCCTCTCTCCTCAGGCTTTACAATTTTCTATATACAGGAAGGTACAACAAATTGATACAGTATTTATGGAACAAACTGAGGATGCTGCAGTATGCTAAGTTTCAATTAGCCTCTCCCCAGCTTACACATCTTCTTGCTTCCTATTCCTCGTGTGAAGCAGTCTCATCTGGTTCAAGAATTAAGTTATTTCACTGCAAGGCACGTACTAATCTACAACAGAAGAAACACATGCATTAATGTGAAATGCTGTTTCAAGGGTAATGTTACTCTACATTTTTAAAGACCAAACATTAAGACAAAAAGGGTGCAACTCTTTATTATTAAATTTGTTCATAAAAACAGGTAGTTACCACATTACAGTGAAGTGAAATGCCACAAAACACTGTTCATTTAAACCTCCAAAATAGTTATTAGACCTCCATGTTTTTCAGTTTTGTTTTTATATATTATACGCATATATAAAAAAAAATATATATATATAACAAAACTAAAAACCATATGTATATATACAAACATATATGTAAGACATACAGTCTGTGAGATTAAACACCGCGTAAGACTGAAATTTTGCTAACTCTCATTAACATACTGTAACTAGCAAGTACTGCATTCATGAAGTGGTTTAATGAGGACCACAAACTTGTATTACACAGCTTCAAAAACTAAGGATGTGCTTGCAAGACACTGTCCCTCTAGGGGGACAGTATCTAGGCCAAAACGCACGGTGAGAAACCAAAGGCCAGAATTTCAAATTTTGACATGCAACAGTAAGTTACTGGACAAAAGAGTCAAAACTTCACATTCGGGTAAGATTCAGGTAAGGCACAGAGACAACATGGTATACAGAGCACTAAACTGGTGACAAGAGGAAGACACCTAAGTTGCACCTATGCTGCTTTTTTCATACAGCAACGAAAGGAAACTGCAACAAGGTAGTTACCATATCAGCACAACAACTAACACAGCCACGCTTATTTTAGGAGTGAAACCAGCTTCTCTGCTCTGCCTTATAAAGAGTCAAAAAGCAGCTTACACAAAACAGGCCTAAAACTTTCTAACAAAATGTACTGAACTGTGCACTAACACCTTAAAACAAAAGATCTTGGTTGATTCAATTAGAAAAGAAAGCAAGGCAGAATGAATACTACTGCAGTTTACAGCAAGTCGTACAGAAACACACAACTCTTTTGTATACGTGACTGCTTCCATAATTTGTTGTCTATGAGAAAAACATATGGACACACCAGAATGTGTTAACTATACACCTACTTTCCTGAGACTGTGTTTAGTTTTTGAATACACTCCATTCTGATCTATGGCGATAAGAAAGTTATGAACTGAATAAGCTCAGTGACTGCAGTTATGCAAAACTGCAACACTGATTTGCCCATGATACACAGGGATTAAAATCAAAACCTACCCAAGACCTCTCTTGCTAGTTTCATAGTTGCTCCACACCTGACTGCATATTTGCATTATTCTAAAATAAAAAATAGAAACAAGCTCCAAATCACTTGTTGCCTTTGCAACAATCACTGGAATTGTGAAAAAGTGAAAATATCATTTGAAATTATCCGAGGTATTGTTATCATTAAATTGTTTCAGTTTTATCATCAAGTTGTTTCAGTTGTTTTGATTCCTTACACATTTTGTACTCCCTAATTAGGAAACAATGATTATTTAGGTGTATACTGAGCCTATGTGGCAGGGTTCTGGTAGTAGGAGAGGCCACAGGGTTGACCTCTGTTCACCAAGGCAAGCAGTGCCCCATGTCAGAGCAGCACCACTCCAGCTGGTTCAACAGGGACCTGCCACTTCCTGAGACTGCTGCCCAGGAAGGTAGTGTTCAAGAGGTGTCTGGATGAAGAGGTACAAGATATGGTTTAGAGGCTTGTGGTAGCAATGGTGGTGGGAGGGTGGTTGAACTAGATGATCTTGTATGTCCTTTCCAACTTTGTGATTCTATGATTAAGCTGAGTATGTCTGGCTTGTGCCTGTATTTGAGAGTAATCTCCCTGTCCTTATTTTAATGCATGAGCATCTCTTCATCATATTTTCTCCCTGAGGAGATTGTGTAAACAGTGTGGAGCTTAGCTGCCCAGTGTGAAACTTACACAGGTTGTCACGCAGACACGACAGGATGAATGAAATTGACAAAAGTGTATTTCCAATTACTGATACATATATATATTTTAAAAGTACTCCACATTAGTTTTTAAGCTTCCTTCCTGGAAATGCTGTCCCTTTGCAAAGTATCAGCAGTATTCTACCAAGAACTACTGACAGTTTTGCTGAACATATTCAGATTGTCCACCACAGTTCTTCATATTCTCCTATGCACAAATTTCAAGATAAACATAACTTGCGAAATTTTGACAGCTTGTCTCTATATAGAGGAGAACACAGCAAGCTTACAACATACATGTGTGGAATATAACTTAAAATATTTGCTTTCTCAATCTCCCATTTCAGAAATGTCTTTCATCACTTAAGCGCTTACTTTCTGAGCACTCCTGAAAAACAGTAGCGTTTTCTTAAGCTGAATGCCAGTTGTTCAACAACCAAGTGCCAGGTGCTGCACTTCAGTCACGTCTCCATACAATGCTAGAAACTTAGGGCAGTGTGTCTGGAAAGCTGCACAGCTGAAAATCATGTGGGATGCCTGCTGAACATAAGCCAGCAGTGTGCCCAGATGGCCAACAAGGCCAGCAGCATCCTAACTTATATTAGGATTGGTGTAGCCAGAACAAGCAGAATCACACTGTACTCAGCTTTAGCAATGGTACACCTTCAGTGTTGTGGTCAGTTTTGGGCCCCTACCTACAAGAAAGACACTGAAGTGCTCGAGTGTCCAAAGAACAAAAAAGTTGGTGAAGGGTGTGAACCTCAAGTCTTATGAGGAGTAGCTGAGGGAATTGGGATTGTTCTGGCTGTAGAAGAGAAGGTTCTAGGGATACCTTATCATTCTCTAGAACTATCTAAAAGGAGGTTGTGCAAGGTGGGATCAGTCTCTTTTCCTGGATAACAACAAGACGACGAGATGTAATGACTAAAGTTGCACCGGGGGAAGTTTAGGTTGGATATAAGGAAAAAATTTTCCTCTGAAAAGGTGGTCAGGCGTTGGAAGAGGCTGCCCAAGCAAGTGGTGGAGTCATCACCCCTGGAGGTACTGAGGAAATTTGTAGATGTGACACTTAGGGACGTGGTTTGCGGGCACGGTGATGATGGGTTGATAGCTGGACTTGATGGTCTTAAAGGCCTTTTCCAATCTTAATGATTCTATGATTTTCTATTCATTCACTTGTGAGAGTAGTACTTCTATTCAGTAAATTCCCTTAGCAAGTAAACAGAAACATATGCAGAAATTCAGTCAGGACACTCAATTACTTGAATACAATTGTTCTTCTTGCAGTGTGGCTCAATCTTGACATCACCTCTTCTGTAAGCTAACACTATCAAATCTTAGGCTGTTTTGCAGGCCCACAGAAAAGAAATAATCCCACTTTTTTTCCCACTTTTTCTAAGTGTTTGGGCTTGGGTGAAAACATTGGGTATTTTTAGTTTTCATCTGAAGTTGACACTATTAAAATAAACAGTATTTAAATAGTAGAAGTTCTCTCATCAAGAAGGTAACAAAGTATGTGAGGAATTTCATACGCTGATACTGATAAATACTTATCTGACAATAGCTATGTCATCAGATAAATGAAATACTTCTAATGTATTCAAATTATTTAGATCATATGTCATCCTAACGATTATACTAAAAATGGTCTGGATCAGGGGATCAGAAAGATACTTTCAAATATTTCCAAATTGTTTGGTTTAGCTAAAGGACATGATAATTTGCCTCAGTACTTCAATTTTAAAAGAAGCTGAGCATTTGGAAATTAGGACAGTTTTTTTGTTTTTTTTTTTTTTTAAATCTACAATACTACATCATAATTTTTTTCCTTAGGTAACACTTAAAATCAATTGCCAATAGAGGTGTACTGTTTTATAGCTGTAAAGTACCTTGACCTAAACAATACTTCTGTTCTTATTATTCTTGTTTCTATCTCCTTATACACTCAGTAAGTGACAAGAGTAAAATATCCAAGAATGGAATAATTGAAGTGTGTAAAGCTGATAAATTAGTTGTTGACTTTCTCTGGAACTCATATGTCAAAGACAAAATCAAAGACAAAGGTGTTCATGTTCTAGAGTAGATCAAGAACTGAAGTACTAACCTCATCCTCTTGCCTACTAAATTTAAAATTAATTTAAATTAAAAATTCAATTTATTTTGACAATACGTCTCCAATTACACACATATTAAACAAAATACTAAGCATCCTCAGTCAAGCTTCTTATCATCTGTACACCTTCATTTCTATTTGTAGACATACATTCAGCTCCTACATACAAACCTTCGAGGATGATTGGCATCAAATAGTGTTGTATCATCATCATCATCATCTTGCTCTAGCGGTGTCAGCTCCATGTTTTCTATGTTTGTATCCAAAACTCCATATCTTCTTGTTTTCCTGTTATGTCTTCTGAGCCTGAAATGTATTTTGAGATATATAAGTTCTATTAATTTCATCCTGCTTCCAATTTCAACAGTGTAAGAGAATTATCCCCACAAAACACTGCTACACTGAGACTGATAATGAGTTTTAAAAAGTTAGTGTAATTACAGTGTACACTCTTAGCTCACTGAAGTTCAGTTGTCAGACAGCTCCAACCATGAAGAATTTACAGGAAATGACTGAGGCCAATAAGCGTTTGTCACCTTTAGTTTTGTATAGAATTACTGAAGAGAATACAAAAAGGCACTTAATAGCTAACAAGAAAGTAAACGCAGAAAGCTGTTCAGTAGCTAAATGCAAGAGACTGATAAAAATACATGCCAATGTACAAAATGCACTACTAGCAGACCCTACAGTGAGAAAAAAAATAAAATTCTCTTACTACGTATTTGCTGCACATTTTGCAGAACAAGAGATGAAAGGGAAACACAGGAAAACTGTAACAGATATACAGGACAATCCATAGCTGCCATCATTTTCAGCTCAGCCTATGTAAGACTTCATGAATTAAAAAAAAAAAAAAGCTATACTGTTTAGTATTAAGTTAAATAAAGTGCAGTAAAATATGCAACATGAGGTCTGAGAAACCCAAACATCTCTTACAGAAATGAGTAATAAACATCTTGAAAAAACAGCATTGCTTTTATACAAATCAATCTGTTCTGTGGCTTCACAGTGTAGGTCTGGCTCCCATGTAAGCCCTGTTCTTGGCTTTGCAGCTCTGTATGTATCTAGTATGTCTTGCACAACTCTCTGAAGTGGGGGAACTCTGATTACAAGTCTCTCAGCAAAAAAATTGAGCTGCTTTCAGTTAATTTAGTCTCATAAAGACAAGCAATGTAAAAAAAGTCTGTATTCTAGACTCTTACAACTAAATCCAGCACTTCCTTTCAGCAACTTTAGAAGCAGAATTTACAAACCTAAGATAGGTACCTAGGAGAGGTGTTCACAGCTTTCAGAAAGACTTACTATGTACAATTTTTATGCTAATGATCATCCCAGTAACTGAGATGTCCTTTGGTACAAAAAATACCGTTCTTCAGGATATGGCATTATAAAATGAAAAGAATAGTACAAGGGCTGCTCTGAAAGAACTGCCTCATATTTTCTTACGCTGGCCAACAATGTCAGGGGCAGATGTTGGTGGCATGGCAGTAGAGGCCAAACCTTCCCATCAATATTCCACTACATTTTGTTGCCATGCGACAGATGGCAGCAGAAGGGCACTCAGAGAATGGAGTCTGACGTAGAAATGCGTATGAAGCATTGGTGTGTCACTGAATTCCTCCATGTAAAAAAAAGAAAAAAAGAAAAAAAAAGGCACCCATTAAGCTTGCTGTTTGGTTTCTGGAGACCAAACAGTGGATTATGCTCACTGTGAGCACAGCGAGGCAGCAGATGGTGCATTTCAACAGCAGCAACAAGGACATGAAAGGACAAGACACAATCCGGATGCCATGAAGATTCTTATGAGAGCAGCATGCAGGCTTTTGTTCATTGCTGGGGATAATGCATAGTCAGTGGTGGTGGCTACACTGAAAAAGAATGTTCTGTAACTGCAAATGTGCTATACCAAATAGTTTTATTGTGCTCTTGTATCTGTTGTAATTCCATGGAAATAAATAGGAGGCATTACTTTTGGAACAACCTAGGCATAAAAAGAAATAGTTAGCTTTATAATTTCCTCTACCTGATTCGAAACAGCAGCAGCAGCTGTGCCATACATGTGCTTTAGCATAATTTATTGTTTAAAGGTAAGGCTAATCACAAAAACACAAAAATGTCATCTTTCAGCTCAGGACAAAAACATTTTAATCAGTTCTCAGCACAGAAAGAAGTGAAATACTTATAACGTACCAAGCTGAGGAACATTCTGAAACCTCATGATGAGGGTGTGATGAAAAATATGGTAGCTTTAGCATGTCTTTTGTTTTCACTAAAGTAAAAGGTACACAACCAATTTTGGTGTAAGCACTCAGACATTCTAACAGGCTAGACCAATGGCAAATGGTATCACAAGGCTTGCACAAATTTAAAGGTTCATATGAATGCTACCGAGAAACAGAAAATTACTGTGATACAAAAACTTAGTTTACATACAAGTTAGTTAACAAACTAATGCTACAAGGATACTGGAGATGCTTGCAGAATATACATGTACAGACGTACCTAGAATGCTAGAGCACTGTCATGAGTGTTTACAAAAGTTTGTTTTTCTAACCAGCGATCGAAAAAAAATCTACCACAAAGCTCTGACTGCATAAAGTCAGTAGCATTCTCAATAACTTAAAAAGGATTACTTTTATCACTGTAGTTATTCCTGACTCCTTGTGGTCTAATGAAGCTATGAAAAATGCGATTCAAGTTACACAAAAATCCATGTTTTATTTCTGCATGTTCAGTCTCAATAATTTCACAAAAACAGCTGACAACATGAGAGTAATCTGCAATAGGACACAAACAAATATTAATACCAGAAGTGTTAGAGATGATAAACTGTAAGAGCAGAGCTAAATAAGAACTAAGAAACTAAGAAAAAAATAACAACAGAAAATATGTTAATGAAATGAGAGCTGAACAAAACAGGCCAAATCCAAAGCACATCTAAAGAAAAAAGATTAAAGAAACACGGAACTGAAAACGGCTCGGAGGATGATGACTAAGAATTTGCTTTTTCTAAGTTATCCTAATTAGCACAGGTGCAAAGGAATATGCTTTCTAAAAGCCACACACACTTGAAAAAAGATCAGTTCAATACAGCAGTAATTGCTAATTGATCTCTCTTTTTATGTAAAGTGCCATTCTAGTTGAAATTTTTTACTGTTATAAAACTCTACAAATGTCCCTTGTTCTCTGCTCCTCCTCTTCACAAATACTTCGGAAGATTCTGAGAAGTACGGGACATTTCCAATCACGTCAAGCCTACAGACAAGCTTTACGTATGAGCCAGCATACATCTTCTTAAAAGTGGAAATACCTTCTCATACCACGTACCACACAACATGGTGCAACCCATTCACATTCTCCATTAATGAATATTTCAAACTAAATTGATTTTTCCTGAACCATGAACGATGCCACTTACAAAAAGCATCCTCATAAATTTATTAGTTGAAGCTAATATCTTCTGTGAAGGGCACACATGAGCTACAGATTTTATATCCATAAAAGAAATTCAATAATCCTAAAAGGCTAAAAAATAACTCCCTAGAAACTTATTTAAAATTATTATCTGATACATAATTCATACTGAACTGTTTTCTGGTAGTCTGATGTAGTATGACAAATTGTGTGGCATACTGTAACAGCTGTCTAGAAGAAAAAAGCCATTTCATCTCATCTGCTAGATCTGTTTTCTCACCAAATCATGAAGGCTGAAGAACTGAGAGCCTGGCTGCTCTTCTTCCTACATAAATACAGGAGATCACCTTTGACTGCAATAGGCTTCCTGTATGTAAGCAGAACTATCCAGGAACAGGAAAGGTAGAAAAAAGAAAAAAAAGAAAAAAAAGGATATATGAACTGTAATATTAGTGTTTCTGTGCATTGTCAGGCATTTTGTGTCAAGTATCAAATCTAAGCATGGAAGGCAAAATTGTCAAAATGAATGAGGCATCACAATGTCTAAATTTCCTTATTTCTAGTTCCGATTGATATGTTACTACATATATGTTACTACTATATGTCTTGCTACTACATACATTGTTCTTTGGAAAATCTTCTGTCATAGAAGGAGTTGGATATAAAAACGGATGACGATGCACAAGAGACATGAAGTTCTATTGTAAAATACACAGCTAGCTATCACAGCAAATAAAGCCTGGGAAAGATCTGCTGCATTGTAACAAAAGCTTTCCTCAATAACACAATTGGAGGAAAACAACAACAACAAAACAATAACAATACCAGAAAAAAAGAGAGAAAAAACCAACAGACTTTCTTCCTGTGTGGGTTAAACACAGGAACAAGTTGATCACAAATCTTCTTCATGGCACATACTCAAAGCAACCCATCTAGAGCTGAGCAGCCTGCTGGAGGTTGCAGGATGCCAGAACACAATCTCCAAAGATGCCTCACACAGCCTGCTAATGCACACTCAGTTGTCTGAAAATACCTCCCACACTCATCTTCACAGCACAAAGAGGCAACTTTTATAAAAGTGCAGTTGAAAATAGAAGTCTCATACACAAAGCTAGAAATGAAATCAGATATGTATTTTTTTTCCTGACAGAGAAATTGCATCATCAGCTTTATCAGTAAGAAAGTTTGAGAGATTGCTATAGTTTACATTAATTATATGTGGAGAAAAAATAGTGTTACAGCCACAGCAGCAAAGCTGCATCAACTCTCACATGATTTTCTTCAAAACGGATTTTCAGGGCACCGCATTCAAACAAAGCAGGAGACCTGTGTGGATGAGCAAGGAGCTCGTGCACACACTCAAAGCTAAGAAGATCCATGTGGAAATGTGGAAAAAGGGTCTGACCACTTGGGAAGAATTTAGAAATGTTGTCAGGGCCTGCAGGGATGCAACGAGGAAGGCTAAAGCCTGCCTGGAATTGAATCTGGCAAAGCTAATAAAGGATAATAAGAAAGGCTTTTTTAAGTATGTTAACAGTAAAAGGAAGACTAGGGAGAATGTGGCTCCCCTACTAAGTGAGGGTGGTGTTCTGGTAACAGGGGATGCTGAGAAGGCGGAGATACTGAGTGTCTTCTTTGCTTCTGACTTCAGTGAAAAAAGCACTCACTCAGGAATCCCAGACTCTGGAAGTTAGTGAGAGAGTCTGGGGGAATGGAAGACTTTCCTTTAGTCAGAGAGGAGGCGGTCCGAGAGCACCTTGGCAACACCGATGTTCATAAATCCATGGGACCCGATGGGATGCATCCACGGGAGCTGAGGGAGCTGGCAGAGCTGACTGCTGAACCGCTTTCTGTCATCTTGGAGAATGGGGGAGGTGCCTGAAGACTGAAGG